GTTCGAAGCTTTGTTCCAAATTAAATGTTTCTAGGACCTAGAGAAGGCCGTTGTTCCTCTTGTTTAGGGTGCAGGTCCCTTATAAGCCCCTTCAAACCAACAAGGGCACCCTTTTTATTCCTAAGTTACTCTTGGGTCTAGGTTTTCCTTTGAAGGCACCAGAACGATAGGACTTTGTCGACATTGGGGTTCCGGAACCGACCTGTGCATACACGCATGCCTCACATGCCGCTAAACCCTAAACCCTAACCGGAAACCCTAAACCGACGGGGCTCTTGCTGAGGGCTCCTTTAAAAGAGGCCCTGTTTAAAAACAGAGAACAACTAAACCGATGAGAGTTTGGGATCCGGACTCTGGCTGGAGATGGGCTCAGGCTTTGGAGACGCACCCGACTCGACCTGAAAGTGGCAATTTGAGCGGACTGGTTCAGGTTCAGTATACGATATAGAGGCCTAGACAATTAGAATACGGTTCCTTCAAACGGGTCATAAAGCTTCATAATTCTCTACACTTTTTTTTGGGGGGGTTCTTGATTATGATTATAGTATAATGGCCCCAAAACCCTACTCTGATTATGAAGGCCCCTACATCACGTAATCTCGAGGCTCAGAAGCTTACATGGCTACCCTAGACCTTAAACCCGAACCAGATCCCTATGCAAGAACTCCATGATGGTTGCACCCTGAGGAGATCCTGCTCTTGCTTTTCTGCAGTCCTCTTCTTTCTGCATTGACATTCTAGAGATGCTGCGCCCCGCTCAGTAGTTCGGCATCTTTTCACCTCATATCGTAGAAACATGGCTACTAAACCCTAAACCCCCGAACCTTATAAAACCCCTACTAAACCCCTAAATCCCAAACCTAACATTCCTCAACCCTAGCTACAAAGCCCTGAACTGCTAACCCCAAAACCCTAAACCCCTTAACCCTAACCCTATTGCTTATTCTCAAAAGCTGCGCCTCACGCCTTCCCATGAGCCATGGACGGTCTTCTGTGCAGAGAGCGTGCTGAGGGCCATGCGAGGTGGGACGGCCGTATTGGGGTAGTAGAAGGTTACTATAACTGACACTGAAGAGAACTATTATCGATGTATTATAGGGTTTAGAACTTAGGGAAGTAGGGTTTAGGACTGGCTTTGCATGCATGCATGGATGGATGGATGCATGGATGGATGGATGGATGGATGGGTGGATGTGTGTATGTATGCATGTATGTATGTACTTCTACATACACATGTGTATATATATATATATGTTTACTCAGGTATTCCTAAATATATACATACATACATACTTTAAACAGATGCAAGCATTACATAGACAGGAAGCATTAAATGGACAGATATGCTGGTTTCAAGAAGGTACCCGATGTTGACGAGAGAGGTAGGACTGGAGCTCGTGCATAGTCCCCAGAAATCCCCATAGGGTTCCCTTAAAGGGATCTGTAGGGTGTAGGATTTAGGGGACTCCAATATCCCTTAAGTAAGGAAATTATAGTTCCTTAAGGGAGATTTTAGTCTCTGGACATGTAAACTGTACTCAGAGCTCTTCTGAGGTGACTGTCGCTGATCCTAACTTCAGACATGACTGAGCCGCTTAATTGGTCGAGAAAGCTCTTCCCTAGTAGTCGAGTAGGTAACCTTTAGCCTTTTTTGGGTAGTATAGTCCCTATATAATCCCTATATAAACAAAAAGGTTAACCTTTAATTCCCCATGGTACCCGACAAGTAGGCTTCTGAAGCCTGATCTGAGAGGTCGAGCCTTGAACTCTTACCGTGTTTTGCTGTCCTAGAACCGAAAAGCCGATTTAAAGTTCGACATCCTGGACTCACAACCCGTCCTCCACACCTCCAACCTCACATCCTGTGTGCGGACAGCAGCGTTCTGTATGAAGAGGGTTCTGGAAGCTAGGCATGCTTTAGAAGTCCTCTGGTGTCACTCGGCATTTGCGATCAGGATCGTGCTAGCGACTCTGTGTTTGTAGGTTTCTCACGTGCTTATGTCGACGTGCCGAAAGAATTATATTGTGTTACAACGAGGCATTTGCATCCTCGTAAACTTCCTGCGGATCGCTTCTTGGAGCAGTCCCGCTGCTGGTGCGGGACTCGGTTGTTGAAGAGTTTACCCTAAGGGTCCACATATCCAAATAGCATATACTTTGGCCCCAAAGTAGCTATATAGGGACTACTTTAAGGCCACAGTATATACTGTTTGGGTACATGGACTCGTAGGGTTAACAATTGTTCCTCCATAAACCACAAGTGCTACGCCCGCATCGCCAAGTTCAGTCCTAATCTCGAAGCTCCTCAACTTTTATTTAAATTTCAAATCCGAATCTCTGCTTTAGTTTGTTGTTTCCGGGCTAGGCTGCGAGGTGGGCCATTGCGGCTCTATGTCTTGGACATCATGCGGTTTGGGATTTAGGGCTTTAGGTTTTTGTGTTTTTACAGGTTCAAGGTCCACGTCTCAAGCTTCAACAAGAGATTCTGTGGGCTGATGTTTCGGGACTTGGGATTTAGGGGTCCTCTTTGTTTTGGTTTATCTGTGGAGTGTAGGTGTTGGCTTGGGGGATGGTGCTAGGACCCAGTTACTTTGCCCCATAATCCTGAGAATGTGTATGACTGTGATCCATGGGTGTTGATGGTCTTCGGGGTCTGGTCTTGGGCTTTTTGTGAGTTGTGCCGATCATTGACTTCCGGGTGACCGTGACGAGCTCGGTATATAGCCATTTTCCGATCGCAACCTCAGACAGCTACTGGCATCATGGTTGTTGTCCTTACGCTTTCTTTTGCGACTGCATTGCACTAGCTGTGATGATTACTTCCTTCGTGAATATTGGTGAACCAGTGCATCTACACCGGCTAGTAATACTCTACTGTTACTACTACCTCTACATCAGTTGCTGACTGCTCACTACTTACTAGCTACTTCGTGCTACTATTGCTACTACTACTAGTACCACCACCACCATCACCACCACCAAGACTAGTACTAAAACTAGTCGTGGTGGTGCTGGTGGTAGTACTGTACTACGAGCAGTACTACGACGACGACCACTACAAGCAGTATTAAGACGATGACTATTATTAACCAGTACTAGTACGATTGCTACTGCCGCCCAGAGGGACGGTTCGCGGATAAAGGATGCTCAGTTCCAACGCAAGGGTTTAGGGGTTAGGGTGGCGCCTGCAACGTGGCTTCTATAAGCTTATGCCGCATTCCGAGTCCTGGCATCTAACATCCCCGAATGGGAATGCGAGTACGTAGTAGTAGCATGTTGACTCACAGCATCCACCTGCTGTCCTTGTATAGCTGGTACCTAACCGCTATTCTAGGCATCAGGGCCGCAATAGCACGTAAATGATCACGAGACTTAGTACCTGAGAATATGAGTATGGTACCTATACTTATCGTTACTCTTAACCCCAGTTATGATGGTACCCGTAACCTTACTTACTAAGTCGCAAATGTAATCCTTGAAATAGGCGTCCGAGAATGCCCAGCCGGACACCTGACGGACCTGGGCCACTTTGCCGCAAGAGAAGAGGCTTTCGGTTTATCAGGCTTAAGGTGGATTCCCAGAGACTCCAATTTATATCCCTTAATTAGGGAATATTCTTTAAATCATATAAGGGATCCTACTATAATTTTAACGCTACGCCGCCCGCCTCGGCTCTGTAGTGGCAGGGCGAGGGTGCAGCGGATGATGCAGGCACATGGTAGGCGGTCCCCGCAAACCCAACCCCGCAATGACGCCGCCCGGAACAAGAAAAGGCAAGACAGAAGGAGCCTGAAAAGAAAGAAAGGCAGTGGATTGACGCAAAAGCCAAAGGGGGGGCGAGGGAGGGGGGAAGGGGAGGGGGAGGAGGAGCGGGGGGTAGGCCGACAAATCAAACAAAATGAGGGGAACGCAAAAACAGGGTGTCACCAATCATTTGGGCTGCAGGGAGGAGGATTAGGTGGAGGGTACCTGAGGTAACCACGAAGACGCCTGGGCCTGTGGCCTCGGCGGATTTAAGTATGTTCCCTAATTAAGGGATATTGGAGTTTCTGGGTTCTGAATGGTCCGCAACAGGATTCCCTTCCGGTCCCTACTTGGAGCTGGGGGAGCTCTCGGCTTTGGATTTAGGGCTTTAGGTTTTTTAGGGATTACGGCTCCAGGGTTTCAGGTTTTAGACGTAGCGCTTGTTTTTTTTGTTGTTGTTGAGCTTGTGGGGGTTACTTGTAATGTGAGAGTGTTCTTTCTGTGTTGTTGGTTGGTTTGAAGTTCTCTGATTCTGTGACTTTTACTTTTCGACGTAGAAGTCGGGGCCTGCAGAGGCCTATCCGTTCTTTTGGTGTACATGCAACTTGATTTTCCATTGACACGGACGGCAGTTGTCCCGTCGATGTGTGTCTGGTGTCTTTCAACGACATGTGATCCCCAAACAATCCTAAGGTCGACACTCAAACCCCAGACCAAGTGTAGTGTTTCGGATGCCTCGTAGCCTGCTTACAAGATGTATACTGCCCCGTTTTGCAGGTCTGGAACCAATGCCCTATAGTTGAAACCTTTTAAACTCTAACCAACCCTAACGCCTACGCCTATAAATCTTAAGCTTGACATCCCAAACCTGAATTCCTCCATGCTCCTATTTCTAAGGCTGACTGAGCCTGCAGCGGTGTAAGGCCTAGGCCGAAATATGTACTACATTAGCACATGAAACCGTACACCTCATGGGGCCCTGACAAACCGCGACAAGCCTACAAGCAACCGCAAAGATACCCTACATGCAACATGGGTACTATAGGGGCCTAAGTAATTTCCAATACTGTTTTGGGGCTTCCTTATTTTTATCAAACTATAAAGGGCCCCAAAACCCTATTCTAATTGCTAAGGACCCTACATCATACAACCCAAAAATAGATTCTTTATAGACCCCCTTTAAGGAGCCCTTTATAATGCCCCTACAGTACGTGGTGCCTGCGGGTGAGCCCCAAACTGCAGGTGCTCTCGGCGAAATGCCCTTGGCCATCACACGTCACGAGTGCAACCTCATGGGCATAGAGCCGCTTGGCAGATGAAAGTTGCGAGTTTGGACTGGGGCCTAGGAAGGGTTTTGAGTGTTAGGGTTTAAGGTAGCCTTAAACCCTAATCCCTAAATTTAAACCCTAAACCTTAACCTCCCTAAACTCTAAACCCTGAACCCTAAACCTTAACCGTCCCTAAACTCTAAACCCTAAACCCTAAACCTTAACCGTCCCTAAACCCTAAACCCTGATATCTGGCTTCGGGTTCAGAGCCAGGCTTCAGGGTGAATACCTTAGCTGCATAGTGGCTCAGAGTTGAAGTCAGAGAACCGTCGGAAGGAATCCAAGGATGAGCCTTCCTAGGATGCCCAGTAGTACCCTTATTCCCTTTTTGTAGTCCTAGGTTCCTTATAAACTTACCCAATACCAAAAAGAGAGGCCTTTTTATTCTTAGGTTACTGGGTATCCTAGCTTCTATGGGCCCTAATGGCTTGCAGTAGGCTTTGGAGGTATAGTATACTGGTATACTGTCTTTTGAGAGGGACTTTGCTATGGACTGGACCTGAACGAATCGTCTTTGTCCTGCGCTGTTCAGCATTTGTGTCAAGCCTTGGCGGTGTTGGATTCTCAAAGAAATCAGATTAAGCCCTGGTACTTGGATCATGACACGCAAGCCCGAAAGACGGTTTGAGTTTAGGGTTTAAGGGTTAGCTTCTAAAACTGTCAGCCCAAGGCTACAACTCAGACATCCTGCCACCTAAAGTAAAAGCCAGAAAGCTGGAATATGATTATCCTAGGCCCTTTATGGTAAATTATAAGGTATCCTACCCTGAAACTATATTCCAACTTTCTGGAGTTCCCTATAAATCTGACACCTGAAACTGGGCTGCCTTCTCTTAGCTCAGACTTTCTTGCGACTCAGGGTCGCTTGTACCCAAAGAACCCTGCTCTAGTTATGAAGTCACCTGTGTTCAGGGTTTGCACTTTTCCACTTTCTTCAGAGCTTCTGGGTTGTAGTGCGCTGAAACGAACAGTACAGATTCCAGAAGGGTTAGAACAGCAACCGAACCCCAAAACAAACACTCCACATCCGTTTTGGTATGTAGAGGACCCCATCTGACGCCCCAGAAGAGCCCAACGCGCCTGTCTGCAACTGCAACCCCAAACCCATGCCATACTAGGAAGCTTAAGTAAGTCTCTCTGTGTAGGTTGCAAGGCCCAGAATCGAGACGGCGCTCCCCAACAGTCCTGCCAGGCTGATTCCTGAGCCCTTCAGTCCTCAGCCCCGTGCACCCTTAAACACTACCTTAACCCCAAGTAACCTACCTTTTTAAGGACTTATATAAAGAAATCATATTAGGGAGCCCTCAAAAGGGAGGTTCCGTAGGGTCCAGGTAACCCTCAGATCCTGACACCTTGCACTTGGAGGTTTACGAGGCTTTAGACACGGACTGATATACCTAAATCAGCATTCCTGTGGTACCCATGATCCTGCAAGCAGTGCCCTACACTCTACACGTGAAGCCTTGAAGTGCACCATCACTAGGTCTACTCGATAATGATCGTAAGCTTATTAGCGAGACTATGCACTAAAGTACAAGCCAGAAAGTTGGAATATTAATTATCCTAAACCTTTTATGGTAAATTGTAGGGTATCCTACCCTGAAACCATATTCCAACTTTCTGGAGTTCCCTTTAGTAGGAAGGAGCCTTCAAGTGGAGCTTCAGGGTCTGGGGCTGTTACAAGAGATTAGGGTTTAGGGTTAGGGCTACTATCAGGATTGCTATATACTACCATAAACTACAGAATCAGGCCCCACAAGATCATTCTACTCATGGTTTGGGGGCCTAATTCCAGAATAGTAGGATCGATGGACCCTCTTGGGTTTCTAGCAGAGTTACTTTACCCTGAGGGTGCCGGTACACAAATAGTATGTACTTCGAGGCCTTAAAGTAGTCCCAACTCAGGTACTTTTGGGGGCCAAAGTACATACTTTTTGGGCACATGAACCCTTTCAATAAGCCCTCAACCCTTGTAGAACCCTTAAAGGAACCCTTATCGGGTTACTTTCAGGGTTACAATTACTGTAGCTACACCTCAAGCCCTGAGCTCTACTGTGATCCTTGAGGCCCACCACAGAGCCCTGCGCAAGTCCGGCCGAGGTCGACTTCTGCATTTCCCAAACATCCTAAAGTAGTCTGTACCATAGGGGCCTGAACAAGTACCATGCTATTGTGGGGGCTCCTTATCATAGTTATAGTATAATAAGCCCCAGAACCCTATTCAAACTATTAAGGCCCCTATATTAGGTTGTTTCAGGGCCATTTGTAGCTAGGACTTAGAGTAGACCCTTATTCCCTTTTTCAGGGTTTAGGTTCCCTTATACACCCCCTTTAAACCAAAAAGGGCACCCTTTTTATTCCTGGGTTATTCTTAGGTCTTGTTAGGATTTAGGGCCGTTTAGGGAAAGTTGAGGGTTTAGTTTTAGGAGTTGATGAAGGGCTTGGGGCTCCTCAAAGGGCCATGTCCCCATACAGCAGCTCCCTGAACACTAATGAATGTCCATGCCCTACAAACCCTTAATCCTAAACCCTAAGCTCCTAAACCCCTAAACCCCTAATTCCTAAACCCCTAAACCCTAAACTCTACCCACTTGCGGGCTCGATTGGGTTTTGGGCTCGACGCTCCGGGTCTTCCAAGCAGGTGTCGTGCTCTGTCTGGACAAAAAAGCCTGCCCAGATCCGGAAATATTTACCTATACTACCTTTAAAGGGATCCTTAAGGGGTTCATTTCAAGGGATCTATAGGGTTTAGGGTTTAGGATGGCGGCCTTAATCATTAGTCAGAGCCCCTTAAAGCATTGTATGATAGTCCTTATAAGCTTACAGCATGGTATACCCCAGAAGCCCTTTTGATTTACCTAGACAGTACCTTTTGTTGGTTGCCTTCTCCTTTTGTTGAAGGTCCTGTATCCGACCATAAACCAGATGATCGAACACGTTTCAAACAACAAAACCTGATCCGGATCCAAATTATGCATGCCGCCAAGTACAAAATCGACCCTACCAACACAGGTTTAATCTGTGTTTGGCGGCATGCGTAATTTGGAACCGGATCAGGTTTGCTTGAACTTGTTCTAGGCTTGATTATTGTCGTTTCATTCAGGAAATGTTCAAACCGAGGTTTCTGTGTTAAACATTGAAATCATCGCATCTCTTTGGGTCCCCCCGCACCCCACCTCCCTCGCTTTGTGTTGTTGCTGGTTGAATTTTGTGTTTTTGGTGTTTTCCTTATTCCCGGCTACTGTTCCGGTTTGGACCCCGGTGGCCCAGAGGGTCGCCTTCTATTTGCGTTGATTAAGCTGCCTTGGTTGTGCATTTGGTGTGCTTTCTTGCTTTTTAGAAAAGGAATAACACTTTTCCGGCTTGGACGGCGTCGGCCCAGATGGTCGCCTTCTGTGTGTGTTTTTTCTTATGTTGTTGCAGTTCTGCAGTGCTTTTCCCAATAAGGAATAGCTACTTTTTCCGACTTGGGCCGCGGCGGTCCAAAGCGTCTATGTGATTTGTTGTTGCTTGTTTGTTTGCTTTGTTCAGGGTTAGCAGAAACCAAGCAGCGACAACTATGGAAGTGTTGTTCGGGTTGTTTTCAGGTTCTCTTCAAGCTGACATGCCCCATCTGTCTTAGGAGAGCCTGTTCCAACTAATTAGATATGTACTTCGAGGTCAAATCTTTCTGTGTCATATCATGTCATACCATCTATATATATATATATACATATACATATATACATATATACATATATATATATAAGATATACATGAAACTGAAATTTCGGTATATAGACCAGAAGGGCTTTCAAAGTCTCGCAGATTGCGGCGGGACCTTGGGTTGAAGACTCGAGGGCTCAGCGCTGAGACTTTTCATCTTCTCGTCTGGCTAGACGGGGATTAACCCAAAGGCTCCATGTACCTTTATAGTAGATACTTAAAGCTTACAGGGGTCCCTATATAGGTACTTTAAGGCCTAAGTATATAGTATATGGGTGCATGGAGCCTTAGGGTAAACCTAAAGGACCATGGGACTTAGTACAAAGGGTAACAAAGAAGATGACTATACTTGTAATTACACGTGAGTTCAGTTAATTTAGCTATGACCTTGCTCAAGTCCCATGATCCTCCAAGTAGGGTTTGGGGTTTGCAATTTGGGGTTTGAGAGTGTGGCGTTTAAGGGTTTATGGGTTTAAGCAAGACGTGTGCGGACCATCCAAACGAGAAGCATGGGTTTAGGGGGCTAGGTGGTTACGACATTGTCCAAAATCTCCAGTTGTGCCATCGGTACCGCACTCCCGGTGCTGGGTCGCCAGTGCTTACTTCAAGCAGGGCGTGGTTGGAGCATCACTCCCGCATACAGTCGTTTCCGACGATGGTCCACCTGACGTGGGCTATCGCAGGTGCTCTCGATTGTTTACGAAGCTGCAAGACAGAGCAAGCTCGAGCTAGGCTGAACATAGCACTTCTTCAGGCCGACCAGCGGTCGATCGACAGGGGAGACTGGCTGCTAGCGCAAGAGCTCTCCCTCGAGGTAGCTCCTCCGATGAGCTCGTTTCGCAAGCACGAAGGCTCAGCGTCTGCCTCGGGCCCGGCGTACAGCCGCCTTCTAGATCCGCGATGGGCGGAGATTGCCCTGGGGAAGCTTCGGGAGTACTTTGGGGTCTGAAGTTCGTTTGGAGTGGATTCTCTGGGCTGTTTGGAGCTAGCTAGCCAGCGACATGCTCTCTGCACATAGAGCCTTAATGCCAAAGCTTCTTTGCACTCGATGGAGCTTTCAGACAACTTGGCTTAAAGTTCCGGCTGAACTAGCACGAACCATCCGCACCAACAGTGGAAGTTGCAGCGGGTTAGTGGCTGAATATGCACCACTCGTAGCATTGGCAGGTGATGCTTGGAACCACCAACAAGGTGAAGTCAATTTCCAGTGTGAACTGGTGATACTAGCGTGATGGACACAAGGACACGGCACCGAGATTCACTGATGGTGATGATGCCCATCCTAGTGTTGGTAGTACGTACTGTGTGTACATAAGAATTACATGTTGACATCGTACTCGTGGCCTCGCACACTTAAAGTACCACTTTCGAGGACCCTCAACCCTAAACTCTCCTAAGCACCTAAATCCCAAACCCCTAAATCCCGAAATCCTAAACGCTAAACCCAAGACCCAAGACCCTTTAATTTACCTTTCAATAATAGGGAATGGAAGAATGGTAGTAATAGTAGTTATCATTGCACCCCATTCCTCCATTCCCTACTAAGCAAAGGTAAGCTAAGTAGGGTTATTAAGGCCCCTATATTATAGTACCATTATAGATCCCTTATAGTAACCCTTATAGACACCTTTATACGGCCCCTTTCATTCCCCTAAAGCTCGCCTGCCACAGGGCACCGGATTCGAAGCTGCGTTGGCGCACCCTCTCGTGCAGTGCCTTCGCGGGCCGAGCAATGGTCAGCTCCGGATGTACCAAGGTCTTGCTTTGTCGTTTTTGGGTTTAGGGTTTAGGGGTTTTGGGTTTTAAGGTTTAGGGGTTAGGGTTTTCTGGGTGAGGGTTTTAGGGAATTTAGGGTGTTCTCGGGTTTAGCGTTTAGGGTTAAGTGGGGTGTAGGGTTAAGTGGGGTGTAGGGCCCCAGGTCCACAGTACTCTGGTCTCGCAGTGGGAATTCTTGTAGACAGCTCCTGTTTCGGGTTCGGATTCCGACTTAATTAACTCGAACTTCTAGGGTCACGACGGTTGTTCGGGTTGGTGAATCGAGGAGGCGACTCCTCTCCTTATGCCAAAATGATGCTTGATGCCACTGTTCTTAAAGCTGCTTGATGCCCGGGTTTTGTACTGAGGATACTAAGATTTTGTGCATGTGTGTGATTATCTAGGGCTCGGTGTTTGGGCCCCCGGGGTGGTGTCGGTGAAGTTAGACCCAAAGCCATAACCCGACGTAAGAAGCAACCCTAAACCTTCCTTCCCAAAGGCTTCATGTACCTTTATAGTAGATAGTTAAGGCTGAAAGGGGTCCCTATATGGGTACTTTAAGGCCTAAGTATACTATATGGAAGTTTCCGAAAATAGGGGACCCTAATATCGTACCCTAATTAGTAGGATCCTTATTATAAGGACCCCTAAATAAGGTACCCCCCTATTTTCGGAAACTCCCATATGGGTACATGGCGCCTTGGGGTTTGGCATCGGGAGACTGGCAACAAATCCGACCTACAACCAATTCCGCTTGGCAACAGAACCTGCTGTTTGGAGGCTTTGGAGCCTAGGGTTTAGGGTTTAGGGGTTTAGGGTTTAGGGTTTAAAACTTAGTCTTTAGGGTTAAGGGAGGTCTAGAGACCTAGTACTAGTAGCTCTTATGTATAGTCCTGGCGACATTCATCCAGGCAATCTTGGGAGGTACGCGATGCATGCATGGGATGCCATGACTATTTAGGGGTGTTTCCTCGTTCTTGATCAGTGCAAAACAAACCACTCTGGATGTGATGTGGGATTGTAGGAACGCAGCAAGACAACCAACAACACGCACAGTATTGTACCACAAAGGCCACAAAGAGAGGTTATGTCAACATAGTGTTCGCTTTATGTTGATGTATTTTCTGGCTGATAGCCACGACGAGTCTGCTGCGGTCTCACTAATATGTGCGACAAGCCCCCCACCCCCCCACCCCCCCGCACCCGCCCGCCCCCCGCGGCACGCATACCCCCTGATAAACAACTTGTTTACGGCATGTCCCCCTTCCACCAAAGGCAGCATCTTATGACCCAGAGACTCACTCAAATATCCCTTAGTTAAATTTTAAGAATATACTTTAAATAGTATTAGGGATCCTACCATAATTTAGGGGTTAGGGTCTAGTTAGGGAGGATCCTTGATATGGTTTAAGGAATACGTATTGGATTCTCTTGCTATGAAGGCTTCCTTGTTGCTCCCTGTCCCTCGGCGCAGCCTTCAGCCCTAGTAAAAACTCCTTAGGACATGAAGAAAATAGACTGAACTATATTATACTACTTTACTATACTATACTGTATACTCAGCTATAGTTTGCGAATCTGTACTATTCCAAACTATAATAATATACTCAACTATGCTATACTATACGATACTACGTTACAGGATAGAATAAGGACCAAGCCGCAGGCGATGGATCCAGGCTGACAGAGTTTATGCACGCCTGTCACACCAGCAGCTGCTTGGCTTGCTTAGGGTTTACCTGGACCCTGAAGAACCTAGATTTTTAAGGACTTGTATAGGGAAATCACAATAAGGAACTCTAAGAAGGTAGGTTCTTTAGGGTCCAGGTACTTAAAGGATCAAGGGACTTAGTAATTAGGGTGATAATTAAGGTAACCATACTTATAATTACTCATAACCCCAGTTAAGGTACTTGTAACTGTACTTACTAAGTCCCATGATCCTTTAAGTAGAGTTTAGGGCATGATTCAAGGCTTAGGGCCCAGGTTTTCTGGGCCACGTGGGGGGGGGTTCTCAGGGATTAGGGAATCCAGGTTTGAACAGCATAGTTGAGGCTGCAGCACGGAATCCGAGCATTCGGGCACCGCGCAACCCTAAACACATAATCCCTATAAACTTCTGTCATTTCCGACTGGGCTTTCCCAGCAGTACACAGACAAGGCGTAATATAGGAGCCTTAATGATTAGAATAGGGCGTTGGCAAATATTATGCTAGAATCATACTTACTAAGGAGCCCCCATGCCCCGATATTGTCTAAGCTGAAAGTTTTAGCCTTTGGATCGACCGAACACTAGCAACTGGGCCGGAGCAACCGAAAGGCCTGAAGACAGCCTCGCAAGGCCACGAATTGGGGTTTGGGGAGTTGGTTGATGGCTTTAGGTTATTGCATTTGCTTTCGGGGTTTGCGGTGGCTTAAAGCATGTTGGAGTCAGGGACTTGGGTTTCCATGTCGAAGGGTTCTGTGCGACTCAGACAGTAGCGGGATGCAGATGGCAAGCTCGAAGCCATGAACTGCGGCGGATCCTAAATCCCTAAACCCCTAAACCCTGAACCCTCAACCAGCAGGAATATCGACTTTGCTTGTGGTGAGCATGTTGTCTCCCAAGCCGTAACGATTCTGACCGAATGCTCATAATGAAGCTACTTATAGTCGCCATTGACGTTCCTGTTTGTCACCAGCTTTACATCCAAGATCCCTGTAAGGTCACCCCACAAAGGAACTACAACGCAAACTATAGGCAATGCCGACACAGCAAGCCTCGACTGCTGAGATGCATCGATGAAGATCTTCAAGCTTGCTTTGGTGGAGTCTTTGTACCTGGACTGGGACAAGGGAGGCCGGAGGAGCGTCAGTAGCTTTACTCTCCAAGACTCCCCAACACTCCAAGACCAATGTGTAGACTGACGTTTCTGTGATTTCTAGTGTGCACCGACGGTTTCGATTTCTGCAAGACTAGTCATGTGCTCTTCGCCAGACGTAAAATCCTGGTCCACTGGTTTACAGCTCCTAAATTCCCAAAGCCTTGAACCCTCGCCTTAAACTCCTAACTCCAAAACCCTTCAACGCAACGTTCATAAGACCCTTAACCCCAGAACCCAAAACCCTATTTTATTTTCTTCGATACTTTTCGGAGGCTTCGTGGTGAGCCCAGAACGCGTGAGTGCCTCGGGCGCCGTTTGCGTCCCCGAGGCTCTTTTGCTGCAGCAGTGGAGGGCCAAGAGCATTCAGAAAACCCCAAACACTCTTACATATCATTATGAAGACACGTATAGATTTTTGCATACGAAGCCCTTAATTAGAAAAAGCTGACATTGAAATTGCACCCGGGGTTGTGATACTTTGCAGGTGCATCTTCAGATTCCGACTGCAACTCATAGGGAGGGACAGTTGTCCGGACAACGTGGTGCAAGCTGAAGGGAAATGCCTCACCGTGGTTCATGCATGGCTCATGTGAACTACGGTTGATGGTATAAATCCTGCATTACCCATAATAAGGAATATACCATACAATCCCCATAGGGTTCTTAGGGTAATGCAGGGTTTATATCATCAACAGTATTATTGATTGCGAAGGCAGCGAAAGGATGGCCACTGACGCAGACTACTATAAAGGCACCCGACAAAGGACCACTAATGACAAGAAACCCCTTGAACACTTTTACAAACCTTATATACAACCTCATGTATGCATATGGGTAGTTGTCAAGAATGGGGTCCCTTTTTTGGTAGCCTAAATATTCAGTGCCGTAGTATATTAGGGACCCACAAAGGGACCACAATTTTGACAGTCACCCGTATAAATAAGTAAATGAACAAATAAATATAAATATAAATATAAATATAAATATATATATATACACACACATACAAAGTGCATTCGTCGTTTGTAGTAGCTCTTTGAGGGTTGCGGGAAGCTCCGAGCCGCGAACTCCATGCCTCAACAATATGGCATAGGAATCTGTGGTGTAGGTGTGTAACTGTATGTATGTGTGTGCGTATGTACGTATGTATGCACGTATGCATGCATGCATGTATCCCTGTATGTATTGATTGTACTACCACGTCTGGTACCACCCTGAGGAGAGAGATTATCTTTACGTCCCAGTGTTGCGAAAGCTTCAACGAGCCACATTCTAATGACTGAGACCCCAAAACACCCTAAACCCTGACCCTTGCAGAATCCCGCCACACCCCTAACAGTAAACCCTTCACCTCAAACCCGAAGAGGCCTGCAGCCTCTTCGCCGTTGGCTCATGGCGGGCTGCCCCAGCTCGGCGTGCGCAAGTCTTATTCCTCCGGGTTCCTTTTTACAGTACCATTCCTCAAAGCTTCTTGCATTATACTACCGTTCCTTAGGATTCCGCCTGGTGATGCCATTCTTCAAAGGTTCCTTTGTGTATTGCCGCTCCTTAGGTTGCTCCATATAATCTCTGAGGAAGTCGGTTGCAGCGCCAAGAAGGAAACATGTTAGTTGCTAGGTAATAGGGGCGCCTCCAATTTTGAGAGTAGGGTTTGGTGTGCAGTAGAACATAAGTATAATAAGAAACCTAAACAATAACTGGCAATTCTTTAGGCTTCTATTTCAGCTGAGTGGGGCCCGTGGGACGGTGAGGCCGGGGAAGGCGGTGATGTGTTACATAGGGAATGGGTTTAGGGTTCATTGGTTTAGAGCTTTCTTGTAATTGATTTGAGATTTGTTCAGGAGCCATGTCTCTCCAACGACATCCGCACAGTCATGCGCATAACTCGCAGGCAGACGAACAGACAGGCCTGCTTGCTCACCTTCCTACCTCTTGCTGCATGCAACATCCCGTATTCCTGTGCAGAGGCTGATACCGATGTTTCTGCGGCAGCTGATCAGGAGGCAACGTAGCCGTGCGTCAGCTCGGAATCTAAAATGAGTTTGGCTCTTGTTTTGGCTTTTCTTGGTCAGTGGCCAGCAGGAAATGCTGATTTGTTCTCCAGAAAATCACCAGGTTCGGAGGGTTGGCAGGGAGTTTCGATCAAATAAAGCTTTCATTATTCGCTTCCCACCACCTCAAAGAGTGTGGAAGACTACATCCACGCATCTCTTATGGCCGTTCTTGGCGAGGCCCTTTTGGGTTTAGGGCTTGGGGTTTGATGCTTAGTGCTTGAGGTTTGAAGTGTAGGGCTGAGGGCTGAGGGTGTGGTGCATTACACTAAGGGTCCAAGTACCCAAATAGAGGGCTTCAAGGACCCCAAACCGTTCAGAGTATGGATTTGGGGACTATTTGGGTACTTGGACCCTCTGGCGTAGGTGCTAGCAGCAAGCCGACTGCTAAAACCCTACACCTTGGATACTGCTAAAACCCTAAACCTTGGATACTGCAGGAACAGTTGGATAATATAGTGATATTAGGCCCTTAATAGTAGCCCTATTATACACTGTTACTGTATGGGGGCAGTATCCAACCTAAACCCCTTTTAGCATGCTTGTAAATTCGTCCTTAAGTAGCTATGCAGGATCGGTCCCTTTTCAGGGCAAAAGGATACATATGACGGCCGCCAGTCTGCGGCTTCATCCTCCGACGAGGACAGCTGCAGCGGCAGCACCAGTGAAAGCAGCAGTTCTTCTGTACCATCTCTGAACGCATCCGCGCCAGCCCCGAAGGCATCTAGCAGCATACTGGCCGCGAAAGGCAAGGCCAAGAGCAAACTTTTCCAAAGGCTCTGGCAAGGCTCAGCTCAATACCTTGTCGAAGCCGAAGGCAAGCTTTTCCAAAGGTACTGGCAAGGCTAAGCCTTAGCAAGTGCCGAAAGCAAAGGCAGCACCGAGCACCTCCGTGCACCCGTGGCTAGGGCTGCCCATCACGTGGAGCACGAATGCAGTGTTGGAAGATCTTGTTACCTGCACCTCCGGAATTTTGGATGATGTTCAGGGCGATGTTGGCATTGTCCTTTTAGGCAATGGGTCCGCGGTATCCACTGGCCAACTTAAAGCCGGCCTCCTAGAGCGGGAACCTTAACCGATCTCCGGCTTTTGTTTCCGGATCCTCTAGCATCCGGCACGGCCTCTGGCAGCGCAAGGACGCAAGGCTTCCTGAAGTCACAGAGGTCTCGGCAGCAAGCGGTTTGGGGCGGTAGGGGTTTAGCGCTTTGGGTTTGGGCTTTTGGGAGGTCTTTGTTCGTTTCAGAAAGCCCCCTTCGACTGGACATGGAACGCAAACCCCAAAGCCCCAATCTCCAACCCCTCAACCCTCAACCCTACTGGAGAGCCTTAGACTGCTGAAAGTAATGCTATTAAGGTCCTTAAAAAACAGGGTACAAAAAAGGCGTGTTGGGGGGTCTAGGTAATTTAATGGCATCCCGAAACCCTAAACCCTGAAGCAGGCCCTACCCGTAGGCAACAAAGTAGTTCCTTTTGGGGATTACCTTATAGGATTCTATATATGAACCCCAAAAAGGAACTACTTTGGGGCCTATGGGTAAGCTGCTGAAAGTCTCCGGCGAAGGCCTGCAAACCTTGCTGCTCTTCGGATGACCCGAAGCTGCCGCAGGGGCCAGGTACATGGGCCCCAAAGCACCTATAGAGTGCCTACTTTAAGGCCGAAGTATATACTACTTGGGTGGCTTGGACCCTTTGGGCAAGTTTTAAGTACTTTCAAGGCTCCCTTGAAGGGGTTTAGCAGGCTCAAGGGTTTCATTTAAGGGGTTTAGCAGGTTTATGTGGATCCTTTCACCGGGGTAGTAGGCTTTATTCGTGATTTATCGTGTGTGGTGTATGCTCTAGCCTTCTCTGCACGAAGACCCGGATATGATGTGGGCAGTTGGCCGTCTGAAGACAGGTTTCTGTCGTCCATCTGCATGGATCTGTGAGATCGCACCCTCAGCTTGCAACCCAAAACCCTCAACCCTTGATCCTACCCCCGCACCCACAGCCAAAACCCCAAAACGTGCATTGTAGTCCCCACAACATAAGCAGACCCTATAAACCCCACATCCCCACACCCAAATCGCTCAAGCCTAGACCCGTAATTGATAGACCCTAAACCCTGTAGATCCCTTATAGATCCCTTAAAGGAACCCTTAAGGATCCTTTTAAAGGTAATATAGGTCTGAACGCCAAAGCCTGGCCCCAGAAGGTCGTGCTGCCCCCACGCTCTGCTTTCAAGGCATTGCTGCGCCAGAGACTGAGGAGGTTCCCTGTCTCCTAACCCCAAGGCCCCATTCACCCGTATGGGTGGTTGTCAAAATTCGGGCCCCTTTTTAGGTACCCTGAATATTAGGTGCCGTATTATATTTGGGACCCAAGAAGGGACGATAATTTTGACAAGCACCCATACAGTATATGCTTTGGCTCCAACGTACGCATATAGGGACTACTTTAAGGCCAAAGTGAATTCCCAACTGGGTACATGGACCCCATATAGGAGCCTGAATAATTAGAATAATCAGGGTTTGGGGTATACTATACTTTAATGATTAAGTCACCTACCCAGACCATTCTCCATATGTTTTGCTGGTATATATATATATATATATATGGCTATGATTTGGATCCTGCAATAATACAGCCTGTATTTGTGTATGATTAGGACTGGGATCCTGCAACATGAAACAGGGTAACCAAAAAGACTGTGCTACATTCCCGATTCTAAGTAGGCTTCTGGCTCTTGGCGCAGACCTTAAACCCTAAACCCTAAACCCTAAACCCTTAACGCTTAACCCTTAAACCCTAAACCCTAAACCCTTAAACCCTTAAACCCTAAACCCTAAACCCTAACTCTGCACTTTAAGCCCTGAAGCCCGACATTATTTCCCTGGCCAATCTGCCTCGAATCCGGGTTGCCTGGATTTTGCGAGCTGTCTCGCCTCATGCGTGGCGAACGAGAGAGGGTTTAGGGTTTAGGGTTTAGAGAGAGCATGAAGCAGCACGGAGTCGAGGTAGATTGGGTAGGGAAGCTTTGATTGAACTATAAGAATACTTGTAGTTTAGATTGGATGTGCTAGGGGGCTAGTTTAGGTGCCGTTCTCTTGGTTGAGTTATTGCGCCTTTATTTGCACACTGAAGACCGGACGAGACATCTCTTGCAGCAGTATCCATGGTGGACTGAAAGCCCTGGCAGTGCACTGCCAAGAGAATATGACCACTGACATTGGGAGGCACAGGCAAAGACGGAACAAGACGAGAGGCAATTACGAGATGATCACCCTTTAGTCGCCTCGCGAGCAGTATGGACGCAAGCCAGCCGATGTGTTGGGGAAGCAAACAAGGGACAGAAGGATCAGGAGAAGAATCGTGCGAGAGTCGACTCACGAACCGAGGATGTGGTAGATGAAGCATCCTGATCTGCAAGACGGTTCCGATAATTAATGGCCCTTTCAAACTTGCTTTCATATATATATATATATATATACTTCTGGTAGCTTTAAGCAGTTCAGTACAGCACATGCTACGCAGATGCCCAAAGAACCGCACACGTTATTACAAATTACAAACAAACCTTCCCTAAACCTTAAACTCTGAAGTACTTGCAGCCCTCATTAGAAAGGGAGCTCAAACGAACGGCTTGATCACTCTAAATCTTCGAAGCAGGAACGAAAATTTTCGGCGGCACATTCCACTGGAACACCGCCTACGCAGATGGCTTGGGCTTCAGCCCTTGGACGGCGGAGCACTTGCTGCTCGGCTGATGTATCAAGAAGGTTCATGTAATACGGAGGCCTCAATAATTGGAACAGGGTTTGAATGTATACTATAGTACAGCTTGAATAAGGAACCGCAAGGAATGGAGTTGTTCGCCACGATAAATAGTAATTGTGTTCCTTGATAGTCCCTAAATGTTTGTACTGTACTAAATATAGAACCCATAACTGTAGTTGAATCAAACATGAAGGCTTCTATTTTAAGCATTTTGTCTCTTGTCAAGTGGCTATGCAGGCTTCGGAATTGATTGCGCGTGAATGATCTTGACATCTGTCAGCAAACTCAAAGCGATAAGGCTATTGTCCTTAAGCGCAATTACAATGTACTACAAGCTGGCTCTCAAGCCCCCGAACCTGTGCAAGACAGTTCTGAGATTCTGTTGGCCGGCTGGGGTGCTAAACTGTAGACAGTAGATGCTACCCTCAATTTCGACCCTATACTCTCTGAAACATTGAAATTAAACCTTAATGCTCCCTAAACTGGAACGTCTAGAACCTCAATCCTCAACCCTCATCCTGAGTCCTAGCAAGTAAAACCTAGCCCAAGCAAAGCCCGAACCGTTATCCTCACCTCAAACTGTCATCGTAAGCCCGCTGCTCGAGCACATAGAAGCCAAGCCCTAAGCCCATCTAAGTCCTACTCCTACTACCTGGAAACCCCAAACCCTGAACGCTTCAGAGTATAAAACCTCAACCGATAATCCCAAATTCTATTCCCCTAAAACCCTAAACCCTAAACACAATCCCTAAACAAAGAAAACAATCCCTCAGACGCGCCCCTCCGAGGTTCCTTGTCATCAGCGACGTCTTCGGCGATAGCCGGGCGACCGGACGACAGTTTGGCTTTGCTTGGTGTTTTGTGGGACCAGGGGCTTACCCTTTAATAGGGCCCTTATGGCTTAGATCCCCAATACCTAACCTTTAAACTTTTTGGATTCTTACATTTAGTAGGGATCGGAAAGTTTTTATTGTTTATTTCTGTTGCTTATTGGGGTAGTAAGATGGTCCGAAATAGGGTATTTAGGGTACAATAGAGGGTAGTTGGGGGTTGCTGGCTATTCCTGAACTCTACACGGCATCAGGCCCGAGCCTCTTGGGTGTAGGGTTTCGGGTGCAGTTGAGTGTATCATGTTCGTGCCGGACTTGATTTGAGGACCGTTTGCATGGAGCATGGGGCAGTTTAAGCTTCGGGCAGTTCTGAACTAGACCATCGAGGAGATCCTTCTCAGGGGCGGACAAGCTGATGCCCAAGGAGTTGGCTTGGTTCACGTCCTCGTGTTCTCTAAATATGTCAAAGTCGGAAAATCCTCGATCCACTGCACTCACAAGTCTACCGGCAGCGATCCTCCAATCATTGGACGGCTCCGAGGATATAGCTCCATCGCGCGAGAGATGGGCGCTGAGCTGACTTATGGATCTAGGATCTGCAGACATCCTCATCCTTTAGACCTAGGACCTAGCATCACTTCTTTAGTGGCGGAAACATTCGCAGGATTGAACCCTGTGGCAAGACCCCCACTACATACACTGTATCCCGTAAGGCCATACTACTGGGGCCTTAGCAATTACCTCTATTATGTTGACGGTTCCTTTTCATAATTCTATCAGAATATCCACCCACACCCTGTTCTAATAAGTATATACGGCCCCTATACCAAAGAACCCTATTTCAGACCCCTGTAGAGGAACCCTTTAAAGGAACCCCTATTCTAATTATTGAGGCCCCCTAAATTACATCCACACTGGACCGCCTCTACAGGACCCCCCCATATATACGGCCGAGGTACTGCTGATGGACAAAATCCTGCATGACCCTAAGGACTCTAAACTATGGGAACTATGGTATATTCCTTATAATGAGTTATGCAGGAGTTTGTCTATCAACAGTATGTACTACCTAGAGGCTTATACCCCACCCGTTTTTCAGGTTACCTACCCCTCTACATAACAGGTCCCAACTACTCAAGAACTAAGTACCCTAAAACAGGATACGAGCCTTGAGTAACGATACAGATACAGGCACATGAACCCGCAAAGCGCTATGGTAGCCCCTATGAAGCGGAACCCGAAACACTCGGAACAAGCGCATCGAGGAACTCCGATAGGCCGAAGATGCGAGGTAAGCCTTTCAGCGTTAGGGATTTAGGGTTCAGAGTTTCGGGGTTTAGGGGCTTAGGGGTTTAGGGTTTAGGGTTTCGCATCCTCAGAATTCCTCCTTCCTTTCCGAAACAATTATAATAATACTGGGCTCTTCCAGTCCGGGTTTCGGGTGCCAGGGTTTTCGGTAGCTGCCTATGCAAGATCACAGCAAACTCGGCATGAAGGAAAAACCTGTACCGAGGTAACGCTGATTGTTCATAATATCATATGGCCACCCTACACTCTACGCAGAAACACAAGTTTGCGAGCAGCTGGTTGCTCTGTCCTAAACCTTTAACCATGAGCTCGAGGTGTTGGTCACTGAGCAGAAGATGCCAAAGCAGGCATTCGGAGTTTGGTTTGGGGCTGAAGGGTTTAGGGTCACGAGGTTTAGGGCTTACAGGCATGTTGGGCCTACAAGGTTTGGGGTACCGAATCAGTCCAAGGGTAGATTGAACAACATTATGTCATTTGGAGTCTAGTCTAACGGGCTCACAACGGAATGACCATATCAGCATAGGGAGTTCATTTCTCCCCTGAGATGCTTACTCGAGTCCCCGAACCCCACACCCCGAACATTCAGTCGAGTCGGATGAAATTTATCCGACTGCTGAGGTTAATCCCTACATATCCCTAAACCATCCCAAACCCCAAAACCCAAGACCCTAAACGGCTGTGGTGCCAGCCAGACCTACAGAGGGTCGCCCGGCAAATGCATTCGCATTTTGTTGGATGCATTAGCGTAGGCTCCGGTTTAGGGTTTGTGGTTTTCACTCACGACTCCAACAAGAACGATTCTGGCGGCCATGTGACGCCTGATCGGGCCTTCCTTACATGGCAGACGTCCCAAGGCCTAAAGCACCGCGAGTACCATGTCGTGTTTGAAGACATCAACCTCCATGCACCACACATCAAAGCTGAGCCGGAACACCGACAACATGTTGACTTGATATGACTTCCTGACATTTCGAGATTAAATTTGTGATTTTAGTGTAGGTCCTTATGCAGACAAAATCTTCGCTTGCACCCCCCGGGCACAGGAAACGTGAGGAGAAACACGTGCCATGCAAGCGCCCTGTTGCAACAGACCAGGAAGGGGATCCCCCAGTGTTTGACAGCAGGCTTTAGGGTTTGGGGGTTTAGGGTTTAGGGCTTAGGGTGTAGGGTGCAGGTTTGGATGTGAACCTTGAACCTTTGGGCCAGAAGGAACACCGAAGTCGACAAGGCTACTGTGCGTTCGAAGCAGGAATGCGCGGTGCGACAAGCCTCTGTCTACCAGCCGAAGAAGTAGAGATGGTATGTCCGGAAACATGCACCCTGAAAGCTCTAAACTTTTTCAATGAAAAAAGAACAAATCCCGTACCCCACCGCTCTAAGCAATGAAGCCTTAAAATCTTAAAACCCTAAAAGCCGCAACCCTAAAACCGTAACCCTGAGACCCTAAGACCCTCAATCCATACGCAGCTAACACCCTGAAAATATAAACCCCAAAACCCCAAACCATCCCCCTACCCCTTCCGCGTGCACCCTAAACCCTAGAACCTAAAGCCGAAACCCTGAAACTCTATACCTCTAACCCCTAAACCCTAAAACCCTGGATCTCCCAAAAATATTTGAAACTCCAAACCCTAAACCCCTAGACCCGTAAACCCTTAGGACTCTTGTTGAAAGGCATCCTCTATACTTCCCTGCATCCCCAAACCCTACAAAAGAGGAGGTTTATGACCCCTTAATTAGATGGTCTAACCCCTAAAACGGTAGGCTTTTGGATCCCCAGGTCTCACCCTAAATCCTAAACCCTAAACTCTAAACCCTAAATCCTAAACCCTAAACTCAACCCTAAAACCCTGAAGCCCGTGGACAGGTCGCCAGCGAACCTCCGAGCATAGGCCAAGGCCCAGCACGATTTGCCGCGCTATTTTTCGGAAAAGGTTCCTTACCCAGAGGGTCCAAGTACCCAAATAGTAGGGTTTTAGGTCCCAAAATCCATACTCTGAATGGTTTTTGGACCTTGAAACCCTACTATTTGGGTACTTGGACCCTTAGGGTTAGGGTATAGGGTTTAGCGATTAGGGTATATGGAGTTTACGGGGTTTACGGGTTCAGGGTATAGAGTTTCGGGTTACATGGTTACCTGGTTTGGGGTTTTGGGTTTAGGGTTTCGGACAAGGTTTCTTAACAGTGGGTGTTATTTTGAATGGTTGGCTGTACTCTTCGAAGTGCACTATCAACAGCAGGCTTTAGGGTTTCGGGCTTAAGTGTTTTGAGGTTTATAAGATATCAGTTCGGGGTTTAGCAGTTTGGGCTGTTTAAGGTATTACTATACGGGTTTAGAGTTTAGGCAGTTTGCGGCTCATATGTTAAAAGGGTCTCGGGCCTTTATGGGTTCGAGGTAGCTGTTGTCATTCAACTTCTGCGAGCAGTTGTAGCAACTTGCATGCGCGTTTCCCAAGTTTCTTCCCTATAGCTCGCATTGAATAATGTTTAACAACGAGTAACCGTTCTCGAATCAACAAGTCTCGCAGAATTCCAGATGTCAGGCTCGAGGGTGGCATTGATTCTAGTTTCTATGCCCATGTCCAAACCAGCGCTACGCTTTCATTATCTACTTGTATGATTTCAGATGATGTCGCCGCCAACATATATGATGTATACCCTTTGCCAAAAGTAATCCCAAAATACCAGACCGCAGCCAGAAGGACGAATCGACAATAGCCCACTATTGAGTGAAGAGGAACCCTACGATGCCTTGATACCGAAGCCCCTAGACCCTAAACCTAAACCCTAAAACCCTAAATTCTAGACCCTAAACCCCTATACCACCGATGCCCTCAAAGCCCTCACAGCAGGGGCCGCCTTAGTCCTCGCTGGGCAGTGGCGCTTTCGCCGCCGGAGCGCCGCCTGTCTGACGGGTTTTTTGAAATTCAGGGTTAACATATGGCTTATAGGGTTTAGGGCTTTTGGCTGTTAGTGTTTTTAGGGTATCAGGGCCCAGAAGCTTTCATTTCGTGGGGGTTTCGGGATGAGGGTTCAGGCTGTAGGGCTTTGGGTTACAGGATATCTTTGCAGTTTGTTTCCTGTCTTTTTTCGCAGACGTCTCGACTTCGCCGGTGGGTTACCTGAATTTCAAAACACGTCAGCTTTAAAGTTTCTTTACCACCATACCGTACGTCCTGAAACTTAGCAGCTCTTACAAGCCCTGCCCCTACGTGGTCAAGACATCCGATTAGTTAGACGCCCAGGCCACTTACAGTGATTGATTTTAGTACCATGCTTGGGACTACCATGCAATCTCACTTAGACAAAGTTTAGCAAGTTCGCTCATCCTACAGGTGAGTTTAAAGTGCTTCCTCTCAGGTTTTAGCTCTGCGCAGATTCGTCGCAGAGCCACTGCAGGCGAAGGTTTTCGCCGCTGTAAGCCGGCAACTGGACGCAATTGAACCGAAAAACTATAGGCGTCAAGGGTACAGGTCAAGTTCTGCTTCCGAGGATTGTGTCAGTGGGCCAGGCTTCTGGAGAGGGACTGTTAAGGGTTCCAGTGTAATGCTTTGCCCCGGAGACCACAAAGGCAAGGCAGTAGGCATCTACGAAACCTTTAACAAATAACTGGTCATTTTAGGGAGTTATAAGTACCATAACCCCAATTAGGGTCCCTTTTAGGGTACTTATAAGTCTACTTACTACCTACTTACTAAGTCCCCCGACCCTCCAAGCAACCCATTACTGCAAGGACGCAAGTGGACCCGTCGAAGTAGGTTAGGGTTTAGGGTTTAGGGTTTAGGGTATGCAGGCAAGGATTCAGGAGTTCGATCGCAGTTGGTAGTATCACCACTCCCTTCTCTGCAGCACTTGGAGAACCTTCGTAGTTTAAGGAGCCATCCTCTAAGTATATGTACATGCGTGCATGAACAAGTACATGAAAATATAAAATCAATAAGTAATTATAGAGTGCGTATATATATATATATATATACACATATATATATATATATGTATGTATTTACGTTTCTATATGCTATTCGTTCAATGATTTTAGCTGGTTGCTGATATGTGTTTGGGAGGCTGTTTGGACCTGCTGAGGTTTGGGCCTGAGAACATCTCGGCCCAGGCTGCGCGTGCGGCCCTCCACGAAGTATCTCGGCGGACGGCCGTAGGGTTCAGCATTTCGGGTTTAGGGTGTACGAGGGTTGAGGAATGTATAAGAACCCTAAAACTCCAATACCACCACTCAGAAAATGATGCTTTAAGTGCTTACCAACCAAAACATCAACAGTTCCTATATACGAACCCTGGACTTGCAACGTAGAAAGGCAGCGCACAAACTATCATTAGCAATATGAGCCCTACAGACACCTCAAGCCCCGAAACTCGCACAAACCCTGAACCCCTAAGCCCTATAAACCCTAAGCCTCACGCTTGGGAAGTAGAGGTCTTCGGCGCCGAGCTGGCAGCCTTTTCTTTTCTTCGCGACCCACCCGGGACAGGTGCCTGGACCTGGGATGTAGGCGATGGGGTTTCGGGTGCAGGGTTCAGGACTTTGGGGTGTAGGGTTCAGGGCCAGGATTTATTTGCGGTTCGGGGTATCGGACTTTAGTTTCAGAGTTACAGTGTAGCGTTTACGGTTTAGTCGCTTTAGGGTTTGGGTTGAGGGCAGATGGTTTGGGGTTTCGGGTATAGGCTTTAGAGTTCCGGGCAAAGGATTCAATAGAGTGTAGGTTTTACTGTAGGCTGAGGAAGGCTTCAATCCGACTCGTTCTTGAGAGCTCGGGCTCTATCTGGGCGTGAAACTTTAATATACGTGGTCGGAGAAGTTAGCAGTATTATCCCCTTATAGGTTTCAATGTAATTATCGAGTAAAAACCCCAAACCTCTGCGCTAACTATACTCCTGCCTCGAACAATGGATTCAACATTTCCGACAAGCAGGGTCGCGAGTTTCATTTAAATTCCAGAAGATCCTGCAGCTGCGCTGTCCCCAGAGACTTCAGTATTCTTTAATTGCAGAACATATCTTAAGTTCTACTGCCCCGAACCCAGAGATTCCAACATCCCTTGAGTATTGAATAGTCTTAAATCATCTTAGGGATCTACTTATAACTTAAGGTATCTTGCTTAATTAAGGGATATTGGAGTCTATGGAAGATTGATTGTAAGCGCGAGTAAGCGAGAAGCACTGTCATGCCACTGGACCAATCATGTGGACCATCCATGGCACCCCGGAGTCTGCAGTCGGTACGGTTGATGATATAAACCCTGCATCACCCTTTGTAAGGAATATACCATAATTCCCAGAGTTTAGGGTCCTTAAGGTAGTGCAGGATTTATATCATCAACCGTAGGCCGGAGTCGAGATTCCATACTGCACTGAGGGAGGGGGCATTACATGGGTGGTCTGAGCACGTAGCAATATACTCTTGTTAGCTTCTATGTTGGATTTTTTGCCCCAAAGCCTACCACATATATTCATGACCGTTTTTGTGTAGGATCTAGACCCTTCAAAGCAGCAGGCCCCTATATAAACTCTAAACCCTTTCCTTGGAGGCGCTGCTGGGATTGGGTTACAGATCTGGTATCCTGCAACACAAACTGACCCTTAACTTCTTAAGGGTCCTGTCCTTTATGTCTAAGAGTTTCTTTTGCCGTTAAGGGTTTCTTTAAGAGTTTAGGGTTCCTTTAGGGGGTCCTTGAAGGGTTTAGGGTGGTTTAGGGTTGGGGTTTTAAGGCTCCCTTACCCGTATGGTTGCTTGTACCGTGTGCCTACCATAATGTGGAGATGAAGCAGCGATCTATCAGGGACCCAATTTCCTGCAAGGGCCCATATGCCCTGGGGTATGTAGACTTTTGCAAGTTTGGCACCCCTTGCGATGCTATGCCCGTATACATAGCCAGGAACACACAAGCCGCGTCCTTCCGGCAGTGCTGATTCTACATTCCCCCCTGGGTCTAAGCACCTCATGTGCTCAAGAGCATCGGATCTCCTGGGCTCCAGCGTTGTGACTTTGGAACCTTAAGCTGAATGAAACTTGAAACGGTTCATGGTCAAAGGGCTTTAACCCCTATAAGGGCCCATGTACCCAAATAGTATATACTTTGGCCACAAAGCAGTCGCTATGTAAGTACATTGGGGCCAATGTATGTATACTATTTGGGCAGGTGGACCCGTAGGGAACTGTGATGCACAGCTTGGGCTAGCAGCATGAGCTGACGGCTTGATGCACACTTTTTGCCCGTCCGTGCTCGGGGTTCAAAATGGTCGCATCCCGTTTTGAAAGGCAGGGTTTGGGGTTTAGGGTTTAGGGTAAAGGGTTTGTTCATGACCTATAGCTAGACTCCACACCAAACCGTTTAACCCTACATTCTAAAATGCTCAACCCTTGAACCCTAAACCCAAACAGCAGAGCCCTTGCTATCCAAGTTTCGCAGAACCGCCCAGGTGTGTTGCATGCAGAGCTCCACCCCGTTCCGTCGATGCGTTTGGTGTATGAGGGCCTAGCTATCAGAGTTTACGGTCACGGTTCACAGTATATCCGAAACCCCTAAATTTAGTTTAGGGTTCAGGGTCCCTTTACCACTGGACCCCGAACCCGGAGCCCCCCAGTTCGCCAGTGGCCGAGCCTCTAGATTCAACACAAATTGCCACGTGGGACTTTCCGAAAATGAGGGGTACCCTAAATCGGGGTCCTTATAATAAGGATCGTACTATAAGGGGTACTATAATAGGTTCCCCTATTTTCGGAAACTCCCACATGCTACACGTGCAAAGGCTTGCTAAGTAATGACACAATAATACAGTCAGAAGCCCTGTTCTACTTGTTCAGACCTCTAACCCATGTAAGTCTTGAAAAGGCAGCCGCCGAATGTCTCTGTCATTCCAGCCAAGCTCAGCGAGACCTTCAACCTAAATCCCGATCATCGTTAACCTGAAACTCTCCAATGTCCTGACGCATGAAGGGGAGTCTGCACTAAGGATTCTCACAACTTCAAGCCCCAAGCCCTTGTCATTTGTTCATTCATAGCCGCCGCAGTCCAAAGAAATCCAACCTGTGGAGGCTGGAATAAAGTAAAAGCCAGAAAGTTGGAATATGATTATCCTAAACCCTTTATGGTAAATTATAAGGTATCCTACCCTGAAACCATATTCCAACTTCCTGGAGTTCCCATTAAAGCCTAATAGCGAGCCTAGTGAAGCCGCTGATAATCAGGATGCAGTGGATGTGCATCACACCGGTGGAGGCCACACGGGCCTCGGACAGGAGCTGTTTTAACTTTGCAGGCACCTAATTACACCGTTACCACATAGTTCACAGACTTAGTTCGCAGCTACCCAACCTTAAGTGCGAGCACCCTCGTTTTCTCGCTCCGAGCAACGTGCAAATTGGGATAATGGCTTTCGGGCTGGGGTTGCTAAAGCATGCGGCAGTGTAAGCAGGCAGAAAACAGGCCTACATGTCATTTCCACGCCGGGAGAAGATTCATGATGTAGGATGGTGGTGTCGATGCGAAGGCGTTTTGCCTCAAGTGAGGGTTTGGTTCAAAGCGGTTCATGTACCTCAACAGCTGTTCTTCAAGCTATGTTTGAGTCAGACCCCCCCCCCCCCTACCCCCCCAAGCCCTAAGCCGTGAATCCCTAAAGCCTAAGCCCTAAACCCTAAACCCTAAACCCCTAAACCCTAAACCCTAAACCCAATCCCTCCACCATCCAGAACACTTTGGTATCCCTGGTTTGTTTCGGCAGGGTGGCTCCTTGCACCAGCGGATGCTTGGCAATGCAGTTTACCTGTGGATCCAAAACCACCGTTTTAAGGGTCAGACCCTCTAGTTAAGGGGACATAACATAACCTTCTATTTTGTAGGGTTTGGGAATACAGGTAGGGTTTAGGACCTTGAGCCATGCAAGGCTTGCAAGCGTACCATTCAGCAATTCAGGGGTCGAGGGTCCGATTGATTGGAAGAGCCTGCGAGGAGACGACGCCGCAGTGTACAGCGTAGTATAGCTGCTTGAATATCTAGCAGAAGTGTTCCAATCTCAACATACTTTGTACCATTTATCCCCCTTAAACCCTAAACCCCTAAGCCTTTATCCCCAAACTGTGCCGATTGCTACTATACATGTATGCATGCATGTATGGATGTATGCGTGTGTATAGGAACTTACTCCTCGTAGTTGAGTAGCTGGGGCCCCTGGGTACCCAGGGACTCCAATATCCCTTAATTAAGGAATATACCTTATATTATAGTAGGATCCCGAATATGATTTAAGGTATATTCCTTAATTAAGGGATATTGGAGTCTCTGGGTAGAGATCAAGGATGGTCGCACCGGCACCTCGCTGCTGGCGATGAGGAAGCTGGACATGGCGTTACCTGCCGGTGTATCAGCTATACCCTAAGGCTCCAAGGTAGCTCCTTTTTGGGGTTCATATTTAGAATCCTATAAGGTAATCCCAAAAAGGAACTACCATGGAGCCTCTGGGTATAGATGTATCAACTATATGGGAGTTTCCGAAAATTAGGGGTACCTTACTTTGGGGTCCCTATAACAAGGATCCTACTATTTGGGGTACTATATTAGGGTCCCCTATTTTCGGAAACTCCTATATAGATGGCATGCATATGTGCATACATATACGAAGATACATGTAATGCAGATAGATACAGAAGTAAAATTGCGTCTTTGTGTGTGTGTGTGTGCTTGTGACTGCTGCCGTGTGTGAGATGGAGTGTGTGTGTGTGTGTGTGTGGGTGCGGTTGCGGCTACATGAATCTTCGTATTTCATGTTGATATACCTGCTTCTTGTTCTGGGGGGGTCTTCAGATCTACTAAAACGTCTCTTGCTCTCTGTTTACAGATTCCTGAGGGTTCCCTTTCGTGAGCCAACTGAGGCTCAGGGTATATTCTCCAGTTGTTGGGCATGTTCACGCTTGAGTTTTGCTTGTTGAAGCAAGCCATGAAAATGTATTCTAAACTTGCCCCGGGTAGGTTTGACAGAAGTGTTGAGTACAGGACTTGGAAGGGCTTTCTTGGAGGGAATCTTACCATCGGTCCTGGAACGAATGGCCGACCATGCATCTGGATCTAAATTCAGAGCAATAGCGAGCTGTGAGGTTGCTGGGTAAGCCTTTGCCTTTTGAGGCTCAATCTGGTGGAGCGTTTTGAGACTTGTCTGCCAGTTCTGGTGGGCTTGGGGCTTACAGATGCTTCTGACTCTCCATGAGCAGCATCCTTCCAGTGCTACACAAAAAAGTTACTGCTGCTGTCGGCATCACTGCCACCCTGCGCGAGCCATGTACATGAAAGCACACAAGCTAGGGACCAAGAAAGGACATAAGCGTAGCAAGCATTTTTTAAGGGATACCCAACCTTGTTGGGCTTCCTTAATTGCAAGGGAGTTTATATGGGACATCCCTATCCTTGTTTTTGCTTATGGTTCTTGCAGCTTGCCCTCGGGGAACGATGGATCCTGGCATGTTTTCGGGAGGACCGGGAGCGCTAGTTACGGGTTATAGGGTTTAGGATTTTAGTGTTTGGGGTTTTAGGGTTGACATAGGGGTTTTACGGTTTCAGGGTTAGGGGTTTAGGGTTTAGGGGCTGGGGTTTAATAGAGGTTTACGATTTAGGGGTATAGGTTTACAGTAGAAGCCAAAAAGTTGGAAACCGAATAGCCTCAATCCTTAAGAGTAATGTATAGGGAATCCCAACACTATTTGGCCTTAATCCGGTTTCCAACTTTATGGGGTTTACGGTAGGGTACAGGGTTGCTGATGGGCACGGAGACATCTACGGGATCTACGGAAAGAAGCATCGCAGCATAACTTGTGCTCTTCGCCTTCAACTTTATTTTTGCTGCACCGCAGATCAAGATTTGTTTTTTGGGCCCGACATACGGTGTAGCACAACTTCAACCCTCGACAACGATCCGAAGTACTGAAGGGCAAGGGGACGTGGATGTAGCGGTCGTGCAAACGTGACTCATAGAAATCAGAGCCCTCAGTAAATGCAACATTGGCAAGATTTTACCTCGGAGGGCTACCTCTAATGCGAGTCGAATGAAGAGCTTGCAGGCTTTGTTGCGAGCAGACTCTGACCAACCATAACTACTGGGCTTCATCTGACCGAGCTTCAAAGTCCCGTGCATAGCCGTTCCGAGTCTGTGTCCCACGCTTGGCACCTTACTCGTGCTAAATCTGTTTAAGGGGATACCATTGCTAATTGTTTTGGGACGGACCCCGAAAGTAGCTGAAAATGGGCAAGAAACATCAACCCTGGCCCTTAGATCCCTAAACCTCTAACCCCTAAACTCCTAAACTCCCAAACCCCTGGACCCCTAAAACCCCCTTACCCCTAAACCCCCAAACCCCGACATTTTGAAGTTCCCCTGAAAGCCCTTGCATGAGGAAGTCGAGAGGGGTGAGCCCTTTCGCTGGATTGTCTACTGCCGCTTGGACATGGCCCCCCGGGCGGCTTTTAATGTGTCTACGGTTTAGGGTTTAGGATTCAGGTTGAGGGTGTCGTGAAATTGCTTAGGATTTCGGGCTTGGGGGGTTTAGGATTTTAGGTTTAGAGTCTTGTTCTTTTCAACATGTAAAGTGTCTACGATTTAGGGGCGTGTGAGCGAGGTTCGTAGGGCCTCGTGACTCAGCTGACTGGGCTAGCAACAGCGAAGCCTGTACTTCTGAAGCTTGTAGGTTCATGTGTGGTGGTTTCTGGACCGGCTTCTTTGCTTGAGTTGGCATTTAGAGCGTTTGCGCGTTCGAGTATGTTGGTTTCAGGGTGGGACTAATAATTGTGGGACAGTTACGGATAGTTGTTTCAGCTCTTGACCTGAGAGGTTTTGGGGCTGGTGGGGTAGAAGCTACGCGCCACCACTTGCTCGCCCACTCGCCCGCCTTTATTCATGAAGCTCCAAAGACTAAGAGGCTGTGAAACTTTAGCTCGGAATCCGAACAAGGGTGTCCCCAAACCCAAACCGCATGCCCTTTACGCAGTGCTGTAGGCAACCATCTGGGTTCCGTAAAGCCGAGACCTCCCTCGAGTAGAAGGAATATGGGAGTTTCCGACAATTAGGGCTACCTTGATTTGGGGTCCTTGTAAGAAGGATCCTATTATTTAGGGTATATACTATATTGGGGTCCCTTATTTTGTGAAACTCCCATACTGAAACCCGGTAGTCGAATCCTTTCCAAGGTTTGGGTGCAGCCTCATCCGCCCCTGAGCCTCCTAGATCCACACTTCGCGCAACTCGTCTCTACAGTAGAAGCCAGAAAGTTGGAATATCATTATAGTAACCCCCTTAGGGTAAATTATAGGGGATCCTACCATTAATCCATATTCCAACTTTCTGGAGTTCCCTCTATGGGCACCATGAGACCATCTTGTTGGCTCTGAGGTGTTCCAGCAGCACGTCACCTCGAAAGGGTCTCAAGGCTACAGGGGTTCCACATGTTCAAGCTCATACTGTTGATGACATAAATCCTGCATTACCTTAAGAACCCTAAACTATGGGAATATTCCTTATTATGGGCAATGCAAGATTTATATCATCAACCGTAAATATGGGCTGGGGTTCCAGCAAATAGAACTCTGTCTCCCGCGAGTGATTAGCCGGTAAGGCTCCCTTCATGGATGTCTTGCGGCGCATCTTTGGGAAAAGTTGGCGCTTCCCAGACGCCAAGTTGCCCAGGCTACGACCCATAAAGCCGAGACACACACTCTACCTGTATCCCCAAACCCTACGAAATAGTAGGTTATGACCCCTTAATTAGAGGGTCAAACCCTTAAAACGGTAGATTGTTGGATCCCCAGGTACCTAAACCATCTGAAACCCAAAACTCCGGCCGCGAAGCTTGTTCTTGTGATTTTCGGCCTAGGGCTAAGGCTCTCGTGAATTCGTCGGGCTGGGGGTGCTTACCCAGAGACTCCATTATCCCTTAATTATGGAATATTCCTTAAATCATATAAGGGATCCTACTATAATTTAAGGTATATTCCTTAATTAAGGGATATTGGAGTCTCTGGGTACAGGTGATTCCGGACCAATACCACAAAAGCTTCGAGCATGGAGCTTTATACAGGCTTTATACCCCGAAAAATTCCGGAAGTTTGTGCCTGCTTGCATGGTTGGCGAAAAGGGTTGCAAGGGCTCAAGGCATGCCCCGAGACGCCAATTGTATAGTAGGATCCCTTATATGATTAAAGGCTCTAATCAAGGGACATTAGAGCTCCCTCAACCCTAAACCCTATAGATCCCTTCTGGGAACGCTTATAG